TTTTTTTTTTTCATTCGTATTTCTCTCGCACACATTCACACACACGCGCGAATCGTAAACACGAGGACATGAATCTCTGGATCGGCAAGAACGAAACAATAAGAAACAGAAATAAGTGAAAAAAAAAAAAAATCGTATTGATGGAACACGAAGGAATTCGACGATAAGAGATCAACAAATTGTACATTGTGTACAATAGTATAAGGAGAGAAACAACAAGTCAACTTTTATTTTCTCTCCATCTTTATTTCATCATTTGTCTGTTTGTTTGTCTCTGTTCGATTCTACCTATTTTTTTCCACCTCATGAGTCGCGGCTAATACACTCTTCTTTCCTAAGAATATATATTTAGCATCACAGCTTGTCTCTTCTCTCCTCGCCTACTTTCTACTTTGTTTCAAGCTAGTCGACTTCTTCCTACACGCTTTCAAATTGTCCAATAGATATTTGAATTGTATGATTTGAAGCCTTGTGACTGCTGGTTCAGAACATTTATCTAACCATTTGAAAAACTTCTCGCCGTGCTCGATCGCTTCTTCTGTACTACTCGGTACGTCAGTTGACTCGATATCTTCCGCTGCAGTAGCGGATTCCTCGTCCATGGTTAAACTCCGTTTCACATTGTCGTTGTTATTATTGCAAAGCACGTTGTCAAGCATGGCTCTTGCTTTGCTCGGTGATTTCTTAGCGACCGGACTAGGCGCTAATGGCGTCGGCGTTATCAGTGGGAAGCTACACTGCTTGTACCATTGCCAGAACCACGAACCATCCTGCTGATTGATGCTCGGATTGAAACTCGCCGATTGTTGACCGAGCAACTGTTGCTGCTGTGTCAGCCATAGCCATAACGCCTCGTCCACCTTTTTGTTGCCGCTGTTCACATTGCTCTCCTTTTTAGGCTTGTTCGTTGATCTTTGAATACTGTTGTTCTCGTTCGTTTTTCTAGGGGACGCGGGAACCGGGGTCGATGGCGCTTCCGCTGCAGGTGGTAAACTTTTTCGTGTGCTGCACGATTTTGCGACCACGGAATCCATTTGTGTTGGCGCGATCGCCGAAATACTATGCCTCTTGTTACTACTATTCAAACTGTTCAAGTTCGTAATACACGCGTTTCCAGTGTTCTTTGTATACTGAAGACCGTTCTCGACGAGACCGACGGTGCTGCCGTGTGATAAAGCCGGTGACATGCTCAACAAATTCTTGGCGAGCGTACCGGTGGCGCCGGACAACAGGCCCAGCTGTTGCAGAAGAAGTGAACTATTTTCGGGTCTCATGCCCGCCATACTGGTCATCAATCCTACATAATCGATCTTCGGCTTGTTGTCCTGTTTACCATCCGTATCGGTGCAAACATCACTACCGACAAACGACGTGCCCGCGCTATTTACCGACGTTTGTTGATCTATTTTTGATTTCTTCACGCAAGGACCCTCATCCTCGCTTGACAGATTTGCCGATCCACCGGCCAAGTTACCAGCTGCTATATTCGCACCAGAAGACGAAGCAGGTGAATGGGCCTCACTATCCGGTGTTGACGAATTCCTTGCCATGCCCCTGATCTTGTGTTCGGATTTGCACCATCCGCGCAATGTCGATTCTGGCACTCCGATATCTCGAGCGACCGATGCTTTGCTCTCTCCTTCGTGAACTCTCTGTATCGCATCCATCTTTTCAGAAGCGGAAAGCGCCCTTAAAGGACGCTTACCGGGACGCGCCGACTCGCCCCTCATTCCAGCGAGACGACTATCTTTCGCGCCTTCTCGCAAACGATCCTCGTAACCACCGTCCTCCGTCGTCGTGATGCCTTCGTCGATCACTTTAGGATCTATTTTGCTAACTTTGCGATCCCTACCACGCAATTTTTCGCGAACGTCTAACACCCGATTAGGGTCGTCCACGTAAATGCTCAGATTCGTCGTCCTTAGATCCAGGTTGAAAATTATTTTTTCACACCGTAAATCTTTTTATTAATTCTGCAAAAACACGGTGAAATTTTCGACGATTTTTGCCGAAATTTCACTCGGTCAATAGTCGTTCTTGATTTCCGTTCAATAATAATCGATAAATATATTCAATGTTTTCCACGCGATGTTACTCGCACCACGAAAACACAGCGTTCGAATTCGTAGAATAATTTTCAGCGTATTTCGCGCGACTTCTCAGTCGCATTTCGTCCTCTTGAAAACACTCGATCTAAATCGTGCTAAGCGTGGCACATGAGAAGCCTCACGCTAACACACTCATCAATTTTCACTGCGTTCTTATAATTCACTTTCTTCTCTTCACTTGAAGTGATCGATCAACAAGATCGATGAAAAGATCCAAGAAAATTTCAAATAATTCCTGAACTATATTTTAATAACGCTTGTTCTACAGATTGCAAAACAGCACACTGGCGCGCCTCGCGTTCAATTCCCAAGATTCACCGACAGAATATATCACCCAATAATAGTCGTATGAAAGACCGTGACACCGACGATCGTCACCTGACGGTGGATCGACCTCGACTGAACCGTCGCTGTATGTGCGCTGCGTCTATCGTCGCTGGCTACCTCGCGTATAACTGCTTTTAGGGGCGCGCGTCGCGTCGCGTCGCTCTTCGCCTGTCGACCGCCTATATGTGTAGTGATCGTTGTCGATCTACACAGTTCCACAGCTCACAGCTAACTGTTTCGATGTGTGCGCACGGTACACTACGTTACACACGAGAGCGCACGTGGACAAACGCACGTGGATTGTCGCGAGAAGCAGCAACGCACGATGCTCTCGCGACGAATCGTC